CTCTTTTCCGGGGCCTCTCCTCCATGGTTTTGGTTCTGGATCCGGGCTGGCCCCCCAATCAACACATCCCCCGCCGCTCCAAATTGGGGCGATCGCGCGCCCCTCTTCCCACCACCCCCAACCCAAGGGCCTTAAAAAGTCCCCTCTGGGGGTGGGGGGGGAGAATGGCGCACAAAAAAAAAGTTTAAACACCAACTCCGCGGGGGGGGGCCCCTTCGGACCCTCTCCCCCTCCCCCCCTCCCCCCAAGGTTTGGGGGCCGAGCCAGGGCTCGCCGCCGCCCTCTGCCTTGGCTGCAGCCGCCTCCGGAGGTGAAGAGGAGGTGGAAGAGAGCACCCTGGACAGTGGCCACCTCAAAGTGAGCGGGAGTGGTTGGGGGGCTCGCAGCAGCTATGCACTTTAAGGTCTCGCCAGGACGGCCAGTGGAGCCCGCTGACGCACAGGGGCGAGACGAGTTTTAAAACCAGTCGTTTGATATGTTATCTTAAAGTTATTCAAAATGATACGCTAATGTTCCTTGGCCCTCTGGTCCACATTTATCTCAATACAAGGTGGAAACTTTGCATGAAGTATATTCTTTCAGGAAGGAAACAAATGGAGGACAGCATTGTGGTGCAGTGAGTGCTTGCAACACTGGCATCCCATATTGGAGCGCTGATTAAGTCCTGCCTGATCTGCTCCTGATCCACCGTGTTCCTAATGTGCCTGGGAAGGGAGCGAGGATGGCCCAAGTGCCTGGACCCCTGCCATCCACATAGGAGACCTGGATGGAGTACTGGGCTCCTGGCCTTGGCTCTGTGGCCATGTGAGCAGTGAACCAGTGGATGCAAGATATTCCCTCCCTCTGTTTCTCACTCACTCATTCTTGTGTGTTGCTCTCATTTCAAATAAATGAGGTTTAAAAAGGAAAGAAATCACCATTGACATTTTATTAATGTCTCAAGAACTATTCATAGACATTAATTGGTATACATGTACCTCCAAAGACATGGCTTCAGAAAATATAAATGTGTGGCACAGAATAGGAATATGATTGTATGCTGCAAGAGGAGGTACACTTAAATGGGTACCAGCTGCAGGATAATTAGCTCATGTCTTATTGAAATAAATCTCGACTGCAAACTGTGGGCCGTAGATTTTTCCATGTTCTTTCTTTATGAGGATTGTCCAGTTCATTTCTGTATAAGAAAAGCCTAAGGGGGAAAAGCAAGCAAATATTACATTTTATTTTAGGGCTAACAGACAAGTCCTACAGCAGACTCCCTTGGGCTTCATGAAAAGCCTTGCTCACCACATTTAGAACCTCAGCCCTTTTTCGTGCCTTAGTTGGCTTCCTCCACATCTCTCACAGAATACCTTTGTCTTTGCTAGCAAGTACCTCAGTGACAACATGCTACCGAGTTTTTTAACAGCTGCTGTTATGGAATAATGACATCTAGGATTGATAAAACATCTGTTTGCATAGATGACAATTCCACCAGAGGCTAGATATGTAATAAGACCCAATAATGGCACAGGCATTGTGGTGCAGCAGATTAAGTCGCCACTTGCAATGCTGGCATCCCCACAGAACAAAACCCAAAAGTAGAGCACTTCTAGATTCAGAATGAGTTTCCATATATGGGTAAAAGGTTCTTAGGAATAATAACCTTCAAATCCAATTAATATATGTTTTTTAATAAAAAGTTTCCTGATTAGATTTTGTGAAATATGTAAATGGGAGATTATTAAGTTATTTCTTGTCTCTCTTGATCTCTCTTTTATGCTCTCCTGCTTTCTTCTACCCTCTCGCCCTCTCCCCCCAGCCCATGGGGCTTGCCCCACCCAATAATAAAGTTGATTGTTTAAAAAAATATTGCTTTGTAACTTGCCAAACTTATTTTTCAATTTGTTTTAACAGGTTTCCGATGATATAGCAATGGGTAATCAGTACTCCTTATAGTATAGCGCCTAAGTTAGATTTTGCAATCTCTAGTTTAATGTCATTGATTTATAGGTAAAGTTTTATAAAAGGAGTAGAATTCCATATGAATGCATTGTTGGCCTTAATTCAGATAGAGGTATCATATAATGTCAGCATCTTAAGTCATTCAGGGGTAACTGCTAAATGTAAATTGGGTGAAGGCAAATGCCTGGGAAGGCAGCAGAAGATGGTTTAAGGATCTGGGGCCCTGCCATCCATGTGGTTGACCCAGAGGGAATTCCTGGCTCTTATTTTTAGTCTGATCAGCCCTGGCTGTTAAAGCCATTTCTGCCTTTCTCTCTGATGTCCTGCCACCTGTTGGTTTACTGCATATCTCCTGGATACCTGACCCCTTTCTTGTTGACTCTGCAAGGTGTTCTGCTCTCTTCTCTGTAGATATGTAAAAACTATTAGGGTGGCCATTTAGCTTAGTGGTTAAGATGGCTTCATCCCATATAGGAATTTGATATCCATCTCCAGCTCCTGACTCCAGCTAGTACAGACCTTGGCAGACTCAAGTTATTGCATTCCTGTCATACAATAGGAAACCTGGACTGAATTCCTGGTTTCAGGCTTCCACGCAGCCTATTAATAGCGATTGTGGGCATTGGGAGAATGAACCAGCAATTGGGAGCTGTCTGTCTTTCATGTGTCTGCTTCTCAAAGAGTTTTTTTTTTAAACCTGCTTCTGTTGTGTGTGTGTGTGTGTGTGTGTGTGTTCCTCCTATGTTCTCTCCTGACCAACAGCCTTTGACCTTACTTACAGTTAGTGTTTTCCTAGGGGGTTGTAATCTTGGTAGGACAAATTGGACAAATCTGACAAGAGCCACAAGAGCACTTGTCAGTGTACCCCATGGAATACTACACAGGAGGAAAAAAAGTGAAATCTTGTCATTGGTAACAAGATGCATGAAACTGGAAAACATCATACTTCGTGAAATAAGTCAGTCCCAAACTATACAAATGCCAAATGTTCTCCCTGATCTGTGATAACTAACAGAGCACCTAAAAGTTAATCTATACAGTGAAAATGACATTCTGAAATGCAATAACTTTGAACTGCCCTTGACTGTTGAGGAACATTTTTTTTCCATACCATTTGTTGATACTAGAGTAGAAACAGGTTACTTATTTCAACACAGTGATCATTTGAATACTTTAAGATATTATTTTTCCAACTGAGAGAAAGCAGGTGATGAAAGAAAGTACAAGAAATAAATTTTAAGAGCCCAACATACTTTCTTATTGGCTGTTCATAGGAGTATGAATTGAAACTATTGAGGATTATAAATTTGATATACAGAAAAATATGCAGACATCACATTTTACGGCTTGTCAATAGAACCCATCACATATTTTCAAAGTAAGGAAAACTGAAGGCATTCTCATTTCTAATAAGGGAAATATAGGCTTAATGAATACTATTTATAAGTATCAATTCAGAGCAAAGCAAAATGCTATTCACTTAATAGCAATGTATTTTAAAGATATAAAAACAAGGCCGGCGCCGTGGTTCAATAGGCTAATCCTCCACCTATGGCGCCGGCACACCAGGTTCTAGTCCCAGTCAGGGCGCCGGATTCTGTCCCGGTTGCTCCTCTTCCAGTCCAGCTCTCTGCTGTGGCCCGGGAGTGCAGTGGAGGATGGCCCAAGTCCTTGGGTCCTACACCTGCATGGGAGACCAGGAGAAGCACCTGGCTCCTGGCTTTGGATCAGCGCAGTGTGCCGGCCATAGCGGCCATTTCTCTCTGTCTCTCTCTCTCTCTCTCTCTCTCTCACTATCTACTCTTCCTGTCAAAAAAAAAAAAAAGATATATAACAAAATTGTTTTTTGTGAGTTTTTTGAAGATTTATTTATCTATAAATCATGGAGAATTTAGAAAAACATAACTGAGCTTAGAGCATGTGAATTACATAGAACTTTTTTTTTTAAAAAGAGCTGAACACTGAGATCACATATGTTGATCTTTTTCAGAAATGTGTTAGGGATGTGATACTTACTTACCATCCTTAGTTAAGAATTGACATCGCTCATCTCCCCTCTTGGGAACTGTAGCAACAGCCATCCTAAACCCAAACCATTCAAAAGAGCAAACAAGTACAACAGCAGAAGTAATTTCTGATTACTCACCTGAGAGAGAAATCTCACTTTCACATCATCATATACAATTGGACAGTTGAGAAAATCAATAATAACTCTGTCTGTCTCAACATCATGAAATATCTGTGAATGAACACATGAAATTCAGAGCTGAAAATCTAGCTGCTTATGGGATTTATAAAACTGAAGCTGATTTTCACTTATCCAGCCTTTCTATATTTATCAAGTACTCTTAGTCTCATAACCCACTAACTATATGTATTAATAAATATAAACCGGGGGCGCTGCCATGTGTATTGGTCTAAGCCTCCGTCTGCAGCACCCTATCCTCTATGCTGGTTCTAGTCCCAGCTGCTCCTCTTCTGATCTAGCTCTCTGCTATGGCCTGGGAAAGCAGTGGAAGATGGCCCAAGTCCTTTGGCCCCAGCACCCATGTAAGAGACCCAGAATAAGCCTGGCTCCTGGCTTCCTATGAACTCAGCTTCGGCCTTTGCAGCCATCTGGGGAGTGAACCAGAAGACAGAAGACATTTCTCTCTGTCTTTCTCTCTCACTGTAACTCTACCTCTCAAATAAATAAAATATTTTTAAAAATAAATGAATAGGCCGGCGCCGTGGCTCACTAGGCTAATCCCCCGCCTTGCGGCGCCGGCACACCGGGTTCTAGTCCCGGTCGGGGCGCCAGATTCTTTCCCGGTTGCCCTCTTCCAGGCCAGCTCTCTGCTGTGGCCCGGGAGTGCAGTGGAGGATGGCCCAAGTGCTTGGGCCCTGCACCCCATGGGAGACCAGGAGAAGCACCTGGCTCCTGCCATTGGATCAGCATGGTGCACCGGCCACGGCGGCCATTGGAGGGTGAACCAACGGCAAAGGAAGACCTTTCTCTCTGTCTCTCTCTCTCACTGTCCACTCTGCCTGTCAAAAAAAAAAAAAAAAAAAGAAGAATAAAAACTGTCTTTTCTGTAAAGTTGCAATTCTATTAATTACTGTAACATTGTTTCCAAATTATAGTGGGACACTATTGAAAGGCCAAGTGTTTGCTTTATTTTAATTAAGTTTCATCACATAAAATTACTGTTTAATGTGTGTTATCTGGTTTCATAAGTTGGACCTCTTTTGATAATACAGTAAGAACTTAAGTTTTAAAGCTGATACTGCCATTCAAGAAGCCATATAGAATGCTTTACCAAAATTATGTCTTGTTGATGGGATCATTGGCAAGCTCCATTGCAGGCTGTTGAGTGAAGTAACCAAAGATAAACTTTCTAGAATGAAGAATTTTGAAATTATACTAGATATTTCTTTGTTACTGATTTATCTTTATAAAGTAAAAACATGAAATAGAAATTGGAATTGTATTCCAAGAACCTAAGGGGATGACACAGTGTACAGGGAATGGCATCTGCAGCTTAAGTTACTGATGGAAATAAGCTCAAGTTGGATACTGTTATATCTTGAGAGTTCAAGAGCCATGGAATTGAGAATGAAATTGCTGAAGAAAATGGGAGGGGTGGGTATTTTATGTGTCAAAGTGTCCTAACTGCTATATGAATTAACATCTACTTAGTAATTTATTGCTGACAACGTAATTTCATATTTATTACCAAACTTAATGCTCATAACACTTAGGATGTGATCTTTATTTTACAGATAAGAATGCTGAAACAAAGATATTAACTGGTTTGGACTATGGACACAGCATGTGTCTTTAGCTTCATTTATATTTGTAGGCATGAACAAGTGAGCAAATCGACCATATAGTGGCAATGAAAAATAAAGGAAAGGAGAGTAAAGAACAGTTTGAAAAGGACAATCAGCAGGAATGGGTGACTCACTGGATTTATGGAGACAAGGCAAAGGGAGAATCAAAGATAATACCATATTTGAAGACCTTAGTGGAAGAATGATGGTGCCATCTGCAGAAGCAGAAGAAATGAGAAAAAGCTCCATTTGACAAATTTGGATTTGAATAATGAGTTTGGATTTTGGGGGTAAAGCCTGTCCATACAGTAGCTCCTGTGTACAGCAACAGTGAGTGCTCATTCATATCTATTCCATGACTTAAAGAACAAATGATAGTGTAAAGAAGAATGGCTGGGAGTAACCAAGAATGGGATACTTGCAGAAATGAAAACAGAATGTCAAGGATCAGCCTCAGGTGAAAGCCCTCATCTAGGAGAAGCAAAGAAAAAAATGGAAGGGGAGAGGGCAGGGAGAATTAGTTTCAGGAATCAAAGAATTTGAGACAAAAGCATGGGAAGGTCTTCTGAAAGTTTACAGTTCCTAGATTCACGAAAGAAGCTTCTTCTTGTTTCACATAGTTTCTCATAGTGCTAATCCACAGAACAGCTGAGTTAGAATTATTTGTTAGAATCAGTTGAGTTGAAAGCATCGCTAAATCTACAGAAAACGGGGCCCCATTCTCAATTTCCTGAATCCTACTTTGGTGGCACAGCTGATGAATTTGCATCTTTAAAAGCCCCTGCGAGATTTTCTTGTACACTACAATTTGAAATTTCAGCACTGTACACTAAAAGATAAAATGATAAGAGGAAAAAATATGGCTAAACCTGACTACAATCTGATATTAAAATCTTGATAGATTTATGGTAGCATGCTCAGCCTTTGTGGGAACCTAAAGCTATAGTTTGAAGTGAAATATATTTTAGAAAATACCCTTAAAAAAGTTATTTTCTTTTAAACAATTTGTTTAGCTTGGATCTGGTTTGCATCCAAACTCAAGGTTTCCATGTCAGATTGTAACTACAAAGCAACATAACATGTCTTTTGTGGTTAGTGATGATTCAGGGAGGCTAACATGCATTTTGACCTGGAGCTTTAAAACAATCTTCAAAGTTTTCAGCTCATGTGCTTTTTTACCTTGCAGTCTTTAGAAGAAGAACACTAAAAGATTGTCTTTTGCTTTGTTACTATTTGAATTTTTAGGTCACTTCAATTGCCTTTTCCAACACCTATATGAAATTAAAAAGATAGGTTCACTAATAAGAAAACAGTAAATTATTCTAGCAGGTTCAAAATACCAAACACTTACAGGCAGATAGTAAATGATGCAGTGAACCTACAGCTAGATGTAAATGGGTCAGTAACCAATTGCATTCCACTTAACATATCCAGGTTGTATTTCTGTGTAGAAAAGTTATTTGGATTATCACTTTTCTACAACTTGCAGAGTAGTTGAAGTGCTCAAAGATAATGAAAGGTAGAGAGTGTGCGGTAACAGACAAAACCTTACCCAATTCAAAGCCTCTCACATTTTTGCCTCCCAATCTCGCCAGCTTCTATCTCTTGTTGTTACAAACTTTTGAAAGATTATTTTTATTCAAAAATAAGACCAATTCCAGTAGGTAGGCCTGATTCTTTACATGGGGGCGAGATGAACTGTAACTTGCCCAACAGTCTTTCCTGAGTTGGTCTACAAGCTAAGACATGTGGAAAGCTGAACACACAGGGTCATGAAATCTCAGATTGCCTTTTAAAAAATTTATATATTTGTTTTTAAAGGCAGAGTTACAGAGGAGACAAAGAAAGATCTTCCATCTACTGGGTCATCTGTGAGACAGTCCCATGCAATGTGGGGAGCAACTCGGACTAGACTGTTACTCGAATTAAGACTTATTCTATGCATCTGCTCTCCCACAATATGGCGCTGGGAGAGGAGTAAACAGCTTCTACACAGCTGCCTCCAGTTCAACCAATAAACTGTAGGACCTGCTTCTGATTGGAGGAGAGCAGTGTACTCGGCGTGTGGGTAGCAGAGTTGGGATTGGTGGAAGAGGACCATAAAGGAGGAGAGAGACAACATGTACCAGGAACATCTATCTGAAGGAACACCTGTGCAGCCCCCGAGAGAGCCGGCCGGCCGGCGGTGTGCCGCTCCCCCGCGGAAGTGGGGAAAGTGGCAGGGGGAACCGCCCTTCCACGGAGGTGGAAGGGTCGGTAGCCAACCCGGGAAGAACCAGCAGCAAACCCGGGGAGGGCCGAGCAGACAAAAGAACAACGCAGGGTCCTGTGTCGTTCCTCCATGAAGAGGGGGAGCGACAATGCAAGTTTTCAGGGATAGAGGTAATGTGATCCGGAGACTGACCCACTGGGAGGGTCAGAATGTGATGGTATCTGGAGAATTATCACTTGACATAAAGGAACCTCTGTCCTGGGGTCTTGCCAACAGAGCTCTCAAATATGAAATCTGCAGTTGAGTTCTTCTATTGCTATCCTAGTGAATTAGAAGACATTCAGATGTAGCATATGGTATGCTAGTTCTGGAGTAAAGTCAGGGAAACTGTGCATGACTACAGGAGAAATGGTTAAAGAGAGATGTATGGGGAGAGTCATTGATGGAGCTACATTTCACATACCCTTGTCTCTTGCCACCAGATTCATAGCATGAGGACAAACAGTGTTGACAAGTTGGGAAGCAGCAAAGGGTCTAACTATGTTAGAGTACAGAATATGTGACAGCACTTAATGAAGAAAACATTTGAAAAATAAAATTGCAGAACATATTGAGAGCCAGGTTAGAAGATATAGTTGTCATTGGCAACATGGAGCTATCATGGATTTTGATCATGGAAATGACATGATTAAAGATGGACTTCAGTAAATTGGTGTATTACTTTTATCCTAGGGTGTATGTATATCTTTTGCTTTTTGTTTGTTTGGCTTGGGTATGGGAGAAAAGTATTAGTGAGTAATGCTGAATTATTTTTCCCTTGCCAAAGGTCTAGGGTGAGCAGTTACTGTGTCCTGCTTTCAAAGCACAGGGTATCTATTCAGCTGCCATCACTTCACTCAAAGAAAATCTCTCATTCACAGATACATTCATATGTCCCTAAGAATTCTCAACCAGTTCTCACTTTGGTTTTAGAGGAACACTACAGAAGAGAAGCTGTGTACAGCTGTGTACAAGGCATCAAGAAAGCAACATAGGGAATAAGAAAGGGAGAACACTGTAGATGTTAGAATTGTAAGATTATAATTTGAACAATTTGATGACAAGACATTTCAAATTGTAGATAAAATGGACAAATGCTTGGTAAAATACAACTCACTAAAATAGATATAAAAATAGTTTTAAACAATCCTATATCTAAGAAAATCTGATTTAGAACTTGAAAACATCCACAGAGAAAACTGTAGGCCAATGTGGCTTTACTGGGGAATTCGATCTTACATTTAAGAAAAAAAATAATAATAACCAAGTTACACAGACTAAGAAATAAAAACAGCAAGGAAACACAGCCTAACTCATTTTGTGATGAAAACAGTTAAAATTAACATTAAGAGAAAAAAAAGCATAGCCAATCACACTCATGGCATGGATACAAGAACCATGAACCAAACTCACATGCACCTCCACCATGATTGACAAGTGAACAGGGCTCCAGTACCTGTCGCTCTGTGCTTCAACTTGAAACACACATATACTTGCACATAACAGAGAAATCTCACAAGAGAAATTCTCCAAATTTTTAAATATATATAATGTATATTTACATACACACATGCTGAAAACAAAGCAAAAACATGAAATAAGAATAAGGAAGACAATATGAAGCCCCCAAAGGAACACTACAACTCTTCAATAATAGAAGCTGCAGATGAAAAGATTGAGGATATGCCAGGTAGGGAATTCAGAAAAATAATCATCAGATTAATAAAAAGTTTTCAGAAGCAAATTCATGGTCTAAAAGAAAAGTGCTCCCAAGAAACTGAGATGTTAAAGTGAAATCAGAATGAAATACTAGAAATGAAGAATTCAATAGATGAAATAAAATTGCATTGGAAAGCCTTAACAGAATAAGTGAGACAGAAGAAAGGATATCAGAACTAGAAGACCAATCTCTTGAAATATTACAGTCAGATCATAAAAATGAAGAAGTCAGGAAAATAAAAAAAATGGTTGGAGATTTACCACATGCTATCAAGCAACCCAACATACAGATCCTAGGAGTTCTAGAATCCATGAAAAAAGAGAAAGGATTGTGTCGCTCCCCCTCTTCATGGAGGAACGACACTAAACCCTGCCTAGGCTTCCTATCCGAGTCACGGCACCATTATGTCGCTCCCCCTCTTCATGGAGGAACGACACAGGACCCTGCGCTGTTCTTTTGTCTGCTTGGCCCTCCCTGGGTTTGCTGCTGGTTCTTCCCGGGTTGGCTACCGACCCTTCCACCTCCGTGGAAGGGCGGTTCCCCCTGCCACATTCCCCACTTCCGCGGGGGAGTGGCACACCGCCGGCCGGCTCTCTCTCGGGGGCTGCACAGGTGTTCCTTCAGATAGATGTTCCCCTTAGATGTTCCTGGTGCATGTTGTCTCTCTCCTCCTTTATAGTCCTCTTCCGCCAATCCCAACGCGGCTGCCCACACGCCGAGTACGCTGCTCTCCTCCAATCAGGAGCAGGTCCTACAGTTTATTGGTTGAACTGGAGGCAGCTGCGTAGAAGCTGTTTCTCCCTTCTCAGCGCCATATTGTGGGAGAGCAGATGCATAGAATAAGTCCTAATTCCAGTAACTTAGTCTAGTCCGAGTTGCTCCCCACAGGATTGGAAGGCCTTTTTAATGAAATAATAACAGAAAACTTCCCCAGTCTGGAGAAAGAGAGAGATATCCAAGTGCAGGAGGTACACGGAACTCCCAACAAACACAACCAGAAAAGTCTTCACCATGACACATTGTAGTAAAACTCTCCACAGTAAAACATAAAGAGATCTTAATGTGCATGAGAGAAATGCAAAACTACATTCATTTATGGGACATCCAATTAGACTCACTCCAGACTTCTAATCAGAAACCCTACAGGCAAGCAGAGAATATATTCAAAGTCTTAAGAGAAAAACTGTCAACCCAGAATACAGTAACTTGCAAAGTTATCATTTATGAATGAAGGAGAAATAAAGATGTTTCACAACAAACAGAAACTGAAATAATTTATAACGACTTGCCTGGCCTTACAAAAGATGCCCAAGGATGTGTTACACACAGGAACACAGGGGCAGGAAAAACACTACAAAAGAAGATGAATGCAGAAAATGACCCAGTAAAATCACAAAGTAAACAGAAAAAATGAAATTATGACTATCCATGGAAACATGGCAACATTAAGTAGGTATTGAACAATAGTCACCATGACTGTAAATGGTCTGAATTCTCTAGTTAAAAGACAGATGGGCTGAATGGATTAAAAAAGAAAACCCATCTATCTGCTGCCTTCAAGAAACACATCTTACCCACAATGATATATGCAGACTGAAAGTGAAAGGATGGAAAAAGATAATCCATGCCAACAGAAAGCAAAAAAAGAGCTGCTGTAGCCATGCTAATGTCAGAAAAAGACAGACTTTAACACCAAAACTATTAAGAGAGACAAAGAAGGGCACTAAATAATGATTAAAGAATCAATTCAACAGGAAGATGTGACTATTATAAAGGTATATACACCTAATTACAGGACACCTGGCTATCTAAAATAAATGTTAGTGGATTTAAAGGGAGAGTCACAATGCAATGGCAGTGGAAATCAGGAACTCAGGAACCTGTAGAACATACACAAACACATGGAGACTGAACAACATGCTCCTGAATGCACAGTGGGTCATAGAAGGAATCAAAAGAGAATTCAAAAAATTTCTGGAAAGAAATGAAGATGACAAAACAACATATCAAAACTTATGGGATACAGCCAAAGCAGTGTTAAGAGAAACGTTGATAGCAATTGGGGCTTACATCAAGAAATTGGAGAGGCACCAAATAAATGAGCTATCAATGCACATCAAGGATCTAGAAAAACAACAACAAACCAAACCCAAAACTAACAGGAGGAAAGAAATAATTAAAATTAGAGAAGAAATCAACAAAATGAAATGAAAAATACAAAAGATCAGCAAAATGCAGAGCTGGGTTTTTGAAAAAATAAACAAAATTGACACACCATTGGCCCAACTAATCAAAAAAAAAAAAAAAAGGATAGAGAAGACCCAAATTAATAAAATAAAAGATGAAAAAGGAAATGTAACAGTAGACACCATGGGAGTAAAAATGATAAAGAGCTGTATGCCAACAAACTGAGAATATTAGAAGAAATGGATAGATTCCTGGACACACAGAACCTCCCTAAATTGAGCCATGAACATAGAAAACCTAAAGAGAATCATTGCCAAGACAGAAATTGAGTCAGTAATAAAGATCTTCCCAACAAAGAAAAGCCCAGGACAACACGGCTCCACTGCTGAATTCTACCAGACATTTAAAGAACTAACTCCAATTCTGCTCAAGATATTCGAAACAATCAAAAGAGAGGGAATACTCCCAAATTGCTTCTATGAAACCTTCATCACCTTAATTCCAAACCTGAAAAAGACACAACAGATAGAGAGGACTACAGATAAACCTCCCTGATGAACATAGCTGTAAAAATCTCAACAAAATTCTAGCCAATCAAATTCAACAACACATCAGAAAGATCATTCACCTGGACCAAGTCGGATTTATCCCTGCTATGCAAGGATGACTCAACATTCACAAATCAATCAATGTGATGCATCACAACAACAAATAGAAGTATAAATATATGCTTATCTCAATAGTTGCAGGAAACGCATTTAACAAAATATAACATCCTTTCATGATGAAAACTTTAAGCAAATTGGGTATAGAAGGAACATTTCTCAACACAAAGAAATTTATGACAAACCCATGGCCAATGTGCTATTGAGAAAGAAAATGTTGGAAGCATTCCAGCTGGAATTTGGAAACAAACAAGGATGCCCACGCACACCTTTGCTTTTCAATATAGTTTTGGAAGATTTAGAGCTATTAGAAAAGAAAAAGAAATCAAAGGGATACAAATCAGGAAGGAGTAAGTCAAACTATCCCTATTTGCAGATGTCATGACCCTATATCTAAGGAATCCAAAGACTCCACTAAGAGACTATTAGAACTGATAGAATGGTTTGTTAATGTAGCAAGGTATAAAATCAACACACAAAAATCAACAGCCTTTGTACACACAGCCTTTTGCAATAGATGAGAAAGAACTTCTAGGATCAATCCCATTCACAATAGCTACCAAAAAATTCAAACACCTTGGAATAAACTTAACTATCAATGTCAAACAACTATACTATGAGAATTTCAAAACATTAAAGAAAAAATAGAAGAAGAAACAAAAAAAATGGAAAACTCATACATGTTCATGGATTGGAAGAATCAATATCATCAAAATGTTCATCATACTGAAAGTAATTCACAGATTCCATGTGATACCATCAAAATAGCAGACATTCTTCTCAGATCTGGAAAAAATGATGTTGAAATTCATATGAAAACACAGGAGATCCCGAAGAGCTAAAGCAATCATATATATCAAAAGCATTGCCGGAGGCTTCCTGATACAAGACATACTACTGGGCAGTTATAATCATAACGGTCTGGTACTAGTACAAAAACAGATAGAACAGTGGAATAGAATAGAAACTCCAGAAATCAATCTAAGCATCTATAACCAACTTATCTTTGACAAAGTATCTAAAATCAATCCTGGAGCAAGGACAGTCTCTTTAAAAAATGGTGCTGGGAAAACTGGATTGCCACATGCAAAAGCATGATGAGAGACATCTACATTACACCGTAAACAAAAATCCACTCAACATGGATTAAAGACCTAAATCCATGACTGGACACCATTAAATTATTCGATACATGGAGAAACCTTACCAGAAATCAGCATAGGCAAAGAGTTCTTGGAAAAGACCCCAGAGGCACAGGCAATCAAAGTCAAAATTGCCAAATGGGATTAATCAAATTGAAAAGCTCTGGGCCAGTGCTGTGGTGCAGTGGGTTAAAGCCCTGGCCTGAAGCGCCAGCATCTCATATGGGCGCTGGTTCTAGTCTTGGCCGCTCCTCTTCTGATACAGGTCTCTGTTATGTCCTGGGATAGCAGTGGAGGATGCCCCAAGTCTTTGGGCCCCTGTACCCCAGTGGGAGACCCGAAAGAAGCTCCTGGCTCCTGGCTTCGGATTGGTGGATTTCCAGCCGTTGTGGTCATCTGGGGACTGAGCCAGCAGATGGAAGACCCCTCTCTTTGTCTCTTCCATCTCTCTATAACTCTTTTAAACAAAAAAATAAATATTTTAAACAATAGAAAAGCTTCTATACTGCACAAGAAACAATCAGCAAAGTGAAGAGGCAACTGACAGAATGTGAAAAAATATTTGCAAACTATACAACAGATAAAGAATTAATAACCAGAATATACAAAGAGATCAACACCAAGGAAACAAGCCAGTGAAGAAATGGGCAATGGACTTAGACATTTTTCATGAAAGGACATTCAAATGACCAAGACACATGAAAATATGCTCAGGATTGCAAACCATCAAAGAAATGAAAATCAAAACCACAATTAAGTTTCACCTCACCCCAGTTAGAATTGCTTTCATACAGAATTCAACAACCAACAAATACTGGTGAGGATGTGGAAGAAAGGGTATCCTAATTCACTGTTGGTGGGAATGTAAATTGGTAAAGCCACTAGGAAATCAGTATGGAGACACCTCAGAAATCTGAATATAGACCTACTATATGACTCAGTCATTCCACTCCTGGGAATCTACCCAAGGGAGATGAAAACAGCATATGAAAGTGAAATCTGTACCTCCGTGTTTATCACAACTCAATTCACAATAGAAAAGACATGGAATCAACCCAAATGCCTGTCAACTGAAGACTCAATAAAGAAATTATGGGATACGTACACCATGGAATACTACACAGGAATAAAAAGCATAAATCCTGTCATTTGAAACAAAATGAATGAATTTGAAAATATCATACTTATAGAAATAAGCCAGTCTCATGGGAACAAAATTTTTATGTTCACCCTGAACTGCAATAACTAATAGAGAACATAAAATGCAACCTGTAGAAATGAAATTGACACTTTGAAAGCAATGACGTTGAACAGCCTTTCTCTTTTAATTTTTGTTTTTGTTTTTCTTTTCTTTTATCCTATTGTCCTTACCATTTCTTACTTCATACTAATCATTGAACACTTTATTTAACATAGAATTAATCATATGTGTATAAAGTCAATTGAAAATAGATCTTAGTAAAAATGAGAGTGAGACTAAGAAAGAGAAGAGGAAGAAAGGGTGGGAGGGCAGGCACAATGGGAAGAATTACCAAGATACTGAAGTTGTAAATGTGAAATGTATGAAGTTTGTAACTGCAAGAGTATAGTTCTCCATACATTCCTATGGATTTACTTCAAAGGGTGAAGTTTAAAAACTTGCCATAGAACCCCAAATTCCCTTAAGCTCACTGGTAAAAAGAGCAGCTTAAGTGTGACAGAGATCAAATGGATAAGTTTAAGTGGCAAAGTGACCATATAGATAGGAAAAAGCATTGAAGTGATCATATAAATAGGACTAAGTGTCAGGAAATAATAGATTTAAAAAGGATTGAAGGCCCCAACATGGGAAGCAGTCCATGTAGTAGACTAATAGAATGACTATCACTTTAAGTAGCACTCCGACCTCAGAATCAGCCCTTAAGGCAATCTGACTGGGATGAAAAGCCCAGGGGAGCATTTCAGGCATGGAAAGTCAAGACACTGTGACAAAAAATGTTCTACATAAAAGGCCTCTGTGGGTGAGACCCCAGTGGAAAGAAGCAGCCATAAAAGAAGGATGTACTTTTCTCTGAACAGAGGAGAGGACTTCCACATTGCTTATGGCCTTGTCAAGTTAGTGATCTAAAAGTCTTCCATAGCCTAGGCAGATCATCTCAAGAGACTCAGGTGATCACTGATGGGAAGGAAGGAGGAGAAAAAAGGAAGAAGCCGGCGCCGTGGCTCAATAGGCTAATCCTCCACCTAGCGGCGCCGGCACACCGGGTTCTAGTCCCGGTTGGGGCGCCGGATTCTGTCCCGGTTGCCCCTCTTCCAGGCCAGCTCTCTGCTATGGCCAGGGAGTGCAGTGGAGGATGGCCCAGGTGCTTGGGCCCTGCACCCCATGGGAGACCAGGAAAAGCACCTGGCTCCTGGCTCCTGCCATCGGATCAGCGCGGTGCGCCGGCTGCAGCGGCGGCCATTGGAGGGTGAACCAACGGCAAAGGAAGACCTTTCTCTCTCTGTCTCTCTCTCTCACTGTCCACTCTGCCTGTCAAAAAAAAAAAAAAAAAAAAAAAAAAAAGAAAAAAGGAAGAAAAAAAAGCAAAAACATCTTGGAGATGCAATAACTTTGAACAACACTTGTCTGGACTGTAAAGGAACAGAGTTTTTCTTTTTTTTTTTCTTTTTCTTTATCATACTAAGCATTGAAGTCTTTACTTAGCATAGAGTTAACCATCTATATATAAAGTTAAATAAAAATAGATCTCAGTGAAAAACAGGACAGGGAACAGAAGAGGGAAAAGGAAGAGGAGTGCGAGAGTGGGTAAGAGGTGAGTATGGTGGGAAGAATTAATTTGTTCTTTGTAAACATAAGATACATGTGAATTAATTAATTAATTAATTTTAAAAAATTCCTAAGAGGGGAAAAATAAAATGCAGATTACCATAAATGATGAAATTATTTAAAATTTAATACCAAAATAAACGTTTTAATTATTCATAAAATTTTTGAGGTATCCTAAAATATATTAACGTGTGCCTGTCCATGTCTGTATAGATACATATGTATCTCCTAAAACAAGTTCCCTGTATAGCTGAGTCAAAGCCCAGCTAGAAATAGGAGTGATTATAATGATTGTTATCTTTTAATGATTTCCAAAGGAAGACAAGAATGGCAACTTTGGGTTGAGGTAAAAATGCACTAAGCCTTTGCTTGTATTGTAAAAAAAACTCATCCTAAAAATGTAATAAAAATACAATAATATTAATGAAAGTATTTAACAATAGTCAAGAAAACATGATTCCCTGTGGTCACTGGGCTGTCCTCCTTCCAGAGTTCCCCAAGCCTGGATGAAGCTGGTATGAACAGGGCCGATGGATTTTAAAACAATTCAGATTATTCAGTATTTCTTTAGTCTTTTGTACACAAAAAACAGTTACTGAAAATTCTTTATTGTCTGTGTTTACCAGGATTCTCTTACCCTCCTGCTGTGTGTGTGTGTAACTGAAGTTTGCCACATAAGCTACCTGTGCAGTGCTTGGAACAAGAGAACAGTGTGTCAGTGCTGGGGACTGGTGTGTGAAACATTTCTCTCCCCTGCGTTTAAATTTTAGACTTTGCTGCTGAGCTGATGTTTGGTAACAGAGAGTTTGCAAATCAATAGAGGAAGAAAATAGAAATTAGCTTTCTGAAAATCTGAACTCACAAATGTGAAACAAAGCAGGGTTAAATATCCAAAATATGCAATGAGACAAGTTCTTTTTTAAAAAGGTTTCCAGGTTACTATTTATTGTGGAGACCTATAAGAAATAGGACTCCAAAATCTAGAGGGAGGGGGATTTTTCAGGCTTTCCCTCATTTTCTTTAGCAGGCTGTTTGAAGGCAGTTTTCTGAGAATTACTACTTAGCAAAGTTCCGCGGGTAGACTGTGAGCATTTGCACACACATTACAATAGGCCTGTGGAGGCCACACATGGTCTTATGGTCTTATTTCTTGAAATGGTGCTTTATTTGGTTCCCAGATCACAGGGTGTAATTACATATTGTGTCTTGTGAAATCTTTTCATTTCCACTCCCCGGCCACTTCTCCCTTGAAGTCACCTGAGGTAGTGTATACTTTTTTTTTTTTTTTTTGACAGGCAGAGTGGACAGTGAGGGGTGGGGGGAGAGAAAGGTCTTCCTTTTGCGGTTGGTTCACCCTCCAATGGCCGAGGCAGCCGGCACACCGCGCTAATCCGAAGGCAGGAGCTTCTCCTGGTCTCCCATGGGGTGCAGGGCCCAAGGACTTGGGCCATTCTCCACAGCACTCCCTGGCCACAGCAGCGAGCTGGCCTGGAAGAGGGCAACCGGGACAGAATCCGGCGCCCCGACCGGGACTAGAACCCGGTGTGCCTGCGCCGCAGGCGGAGAATTAGCCTATTGAGCCGCGGCGCCGGCCACTTTCCTGTCTCTTGTTAGTACTTTGTATATCAAACAGCAAGGATGCATATTTATTATTTCTCCACTTTTAAAACTTTGCACGAACAGACTCATTTATTGCCTCTTTTGCCATTTTTAACTTACAATTTTTTAAAAATATTTGTTTATTTGAAAGGCAGTTACAGAGAGGAAGGGAGAGAGAGAGAGAGAAAGAGAAGAGAGCGCTTCTATCTGCTGATTAACTGCTGAAATGGCCACAGAGTCAAGGCCAGGAGCCCAGTACTCCATCCCGGTCTCCTACGTGGATGGCAGGAATCCAGGTACTTGGGTCACCGTCACTCCCTTCCCAGGCACATTAGGAGGACGGTGGATCAGAAGTGGAGCAGCAGGGACTTCATCGGTGCTCCAACAAGGGAAGCCAGTGTTGTTGCAAGCACTCACTGCACCACAATGCTGACCTCCGTTTCTTTCCTTTTTGAAGGAATAAACGTGCAGGGCCCAAGACTTGGCCCATCTTCTACTGCTTTCCAGGCATAAGGAGAGAGCTGGATCGGAAGTAGAGCAGCCAGGACTCGAACCGCTGCCCATGTGGAATGCCCGCACTGCTGGCGGAGACTGTAACCAGCTCCGCCACAGCGCCGGCCCCCTTACAAACATCTTGTAAAGTGCTCCTAGGAGGTTTCCGTTTGTTTCCTCTGAAGCAGATGGAAGCCTGGCTCCCTACATTCGCTCTAACCGTCAGCTCTTCCCTCCCTCTAGGATTCCTTTACCCGGCGCGCTGCGTCGGGCTGGTGTTTGGCCGTTTGCACACACCCCCCCCCCCCCCGCCCCCCTCGCCGCACCGACGCCGGTGCCTCGCGCGGTGTCCTCAGGCGTGGGCAGGCTGGGGCTGACCAGAGGGCAAGGCCCGCTGAGGAGACGCTCAGGGAACCGGCGAGGCGGTGCGGGGCGCTGTGCGCAGCGCCGGGCCCTGGAGAGCGCTTCCTGCACTGGCCCGCAGGGGGCGCGGCGGGCGGCGAGGGCCGGAGACGTCCAGGCCCCGGCCCTTTAAACACTGGGCGCGCGGGAACCGCAGCCCAACCGCCTCAGGAGGCCGCGGCCGGTGGGGCGGAGCCGAGCGGAGCGCGAGCCGCCGGCCAACGACGGCCCAGGCCCGCCCGCTCGGACGCTTTTCCAATCACCCCCTCGCTCACCTTCCTTCCAGAGCGCACCCCGGCAGCCTGCGAGGGTGCTGAAATGGGCGGGGGCCCCGATGGGGTGTCAGGGCGCAAGCGGACGCGGCCCGCTCCCCTGAAGTTTCCAACGTGTTTGGTCCTCCAGATGGAGAAAAAAAAAAACTAAGAGCGGCGGCCAATGGCGTGGCAGAAAGGACTCGCGCTCAGGGCCCGGCCCCGCCCCGTTCGCCTAGAGACAAGCCCGGCCATTGGCTGTGGAGATGTCCCTGGCCGCTGTGGCCATCCGACGAGGACCTCGCATTGATTGTTCCGCCCAGGCGCGAATTGTAACCTGGGAGGTAATAGCGAGGATTGCGGCTACAGGTTGAGATTTGGGGGGCTGAGCGCCCCGTGTGCTGTTTTGTGAGACTCAAAGGCCAGGCCCTGGGCTGCTCCTGCTTCTGCAGACTGCGCTGGGGCTGTCCAAAGAGCTAAGGGCAGGCTTGACCTGGGGCCCGGCCCTCCCGCTCCCGACCCGCGCCCGGTCGCTCAACTCCTCTGGAGGTAGCCGCGAAGGATTCGGGGAAACCTCCGCGGGCCCGGAGCCGGCGACTCGGAGCGGCGCGGTCGGGTGGCGAAGGCCCAGACCCAGGCTCCCGTAGGGCAGCCTGGGGCCGCTGGAGCTGCGGATCGCGTTCGGGCGGTGATCCGGGGCCTGGAGGCGTTGATGCCAAACAACCGCCCCAGCCACCACCTGTCATCATCTTCCAGGACTCCCCGCAGCGGTTGCTGGTTTCCGTAGTCAGGACGGCCCCCCATCAAGCCATCGTGCGGCGGCTCAGGGGAGCTGCCGCGGCCGCCGCTCCGCGTCCCCACCAGCCCCGACATCAGCGACTTCAGGGTGCACCCGTGGCGCTGAGGCGAGAATGCGCACAAAGCAACGTTCAGCCCCAGCCCGCGGGCGGCGCCCCTCAGACACCTGCCTGCTGCCGCCTTCCCCCAGGGCTGCGGGGCCAGGGCTCGCCGCCGCCCTCTGTCTTGGCTGCGGCCGCCTCCGGAGGTGAGGAGGTGATAGAAAGCACCCTGGACAGCGGTCACCTCAAGGTGAGTGGGAGTGGTTTCTGGGCATGGGGTAGCTGCACTGGTTAATGTCTCACCGCCCGTTTAAGGTCGCGCCTGGAAAGCTGGTGGAGCCCGCAGACGCGCTGGGCGTGTGGAGAAAAGTTTTAAAATCAGTCATTTGATAGGAACGTTTCCTTATCTCAAGTTATTCAAAATGAAACACCAATGCTCCTTTACCCCCTGTTCCACATTTATCTCAATACAGGGTGGAAACAGCATGAAGTATATTCCTTCAAAAAAGAAGGAAACTGAGCTCTGCATTGTGGTGCAGTGGGTGCTTGCAACACTGGCATCCCATGTTGGAGCGTTGATTAAGTCCCGAATACTCCACTTCTGATCCACCGTCCTCCTAATGTGCCTAGGAAGAGAGTGAAGATGACCCAAGTGCCCGGACCCCTGCCATCCACGTAGGAATCTGGATGGAGTACTGAGCTCCTGGCCTTGGCTCTCTGGCCATTTGAGCAGTGAACTAGTGGATGGAAGATATTCCCTCCCTCTCTTTCTCTTTCCCTCATTTCTTTCTGTGTTGCTCTGCATTTCAAATAAATGAGGTTAAAAAGGGAAAGAAATCACCATTGACAAAGAACTATGTACAACTATATACATAGACATAAGTTGGCTTACGTGTACCTACAAAGACATGGCTTAGGAAAATATAAATGTGTGGCTCAGATTAGGAAGAATATGATTGTATGCTACAAGAGAAGGTACACTTAAATGGGTACCAGCTACAACATAACTCATGTCTTATTTATATAAATCTCAACTGCAAACTGTGGGCCGTAGATTCTCCATGTTCTTTGTTTATGAGGATTGTCCAGTTAATTTCTTCATAGGTAAAGCCTAAGGGGGAAAAGCATGCACACATTACATTTTATTTTAGGGCCAATAGACAAGCCCTGCAGTAGGCCCCCTTGGCCTTCATGAAAAGCCTTGCTCACCACATTTAGAACCTCAGCCTTTTTTGTGTTTCAGTTGGCTTCCTCCACAACTCTGGCAGAATACTTTTTTTTAAGATTTATTTTTATTTATTTGAAAGATAGAGTTACAGAGAGAGATAGATACAGAGAGAGAGAGAGGTCTTCCATCCGCTGATTCACTCCCCAGATGGCTGCAACAGCTGGAGCTGCACTGATCTGAAGCAAGGAGCCAGGAGCTTCTTCTGGGTCTCCCACATGGGTGCAGGGGCCCAAGGACTTGGGCCATCTTCTACTCTTTTCCCCAGGCCATAGCAGAGAGCTGGATTGGAAGAGGAGCACCACATTGCCGGCCCCCAAGGCAGAATACTTTCATATTCACTAACAAGTACCTCAGGGACAACATGCTACCGACTCTTTTTTTTTTTAAAATATTTTATTTATTTATTTGAAAGTCAGAGTTACATAGAGAAGGAGAGGCAGAGAGTCTTCCAACCCTTGTTCAATCCCCAGATGGCCATAATGGCTGGAGCTACGCCAGTCCAAAGGCAGGAGACAGGAGCTTCTTCTGGGTCTCCCACATGGATTCAGGGGCCCAAGGACTTAAGCCATCTTCCTCTGCTTTCCCAGGCCATAGCAGAGAGTTCAATTGGAAGCGGAGTACCCGGGACTCGAACCGGCGCCCATATAGGATTCTGGCACTGCAGGCAGCAGCTTTAACCATTATGCCACAGCCCATACTGACTTTTTTAGCATCTCCTTTTATGGAATTAATGATATCCAAGATTGATAAAGCATCTGTTTGCATAGATGACAATTCCACCAGATGCTAGATGTGTAATAAGATCCAATAATGGCACAGGCATTGTGGTGCAGCAGAAAAGTCGCCACTTGCAATGCTGGCATCCTATACTGGAGTGCTGGTTTGAGTCCTGGCTGCTCCACTTTTGCTCCAACTCCCTGCTGATGGCCTGGGAAGGCAGCAGAAAGTGGCCCAGTGGCTTGGGCATCTGTTGCCTACATGACCTGGATGGAGTTCCTGATTCCTGCCTTCAGCCTGGACCAGCCCTGGCCATTGCAGCCATTTGAGAAGTGAACTAGGGATGAAAGATGCACCTCTCTCTTCTATCTCCCCTCCCTCTCCTCTGGCAGGGGCTTTAACTCACTGCACCATAGTGCTGTCTCTCAACTTTCAAATAAATGAAATCTTTAATAAAACCTAATAATAAGATACTGTGTTTTTAAGGATGCAGTTGATGTTTTTGGCTAAACATCCTGATAACTGTAAAAACTGCTTTGCCAAGTAGTATGTAAATGTAAAGGTTACAGAAATGTTGAGAAACTTACACAAAAATGATCTAACATTTCTTCTCCAGTACGAATACAGTGTTTCAAAGGACAAAGCTGTACATTTTAGTAAGAGCCACTTTTCAGGATCACTAACGTCTCTATATTTGAGGGACTTTGCTTATGTAATGAATCAAAGATTATTGTTTGTTTACATCGAGACACAAATGTATAAACATTCTGCATGAAATCCAACATTTGCCCTCAAAATCCATTAAATGTGCGTGCATCACAGGAGTCTATGTCAGATGTTTCCTCTGCTGTCTTCTTATAGGACTTGGGATGCCACTCGAGCCAGTACAGATTTGCAGCAGAGTAGGGTTGGATGTGATGAATATCAACTCATGCCACATGCAGTTGTAACCACCTTAATTCTAACCTGAATAATTTTCAAAATATATTCTCCTTTTGGGTTGTAAAGTATGTTGATAACATTTTTTCACCCCCACAGAACAAAACTCCAAAGTAGAACAGTTCTAGATTCAGAATGAGTTTCCATATATGGGTAAAAGATCCTTTGAAATAATAACCTTCAAATCGAAGTAATAAATGCCTTTTTTATAAAAGATTTCCTGATTGAGTTAGAGACATGTAGATGGGAGACAAGTTATTTCTTAGCTGTCTTCATTAACACTTACTGAATCTAATTTCTTCTCGGCCTTTTGGCTAAGATCAAGTGCATTAACACTTACTGAATCTTATAACTTCTGTCTTACATATAACTGTGTCAATCAACTTTAAAGTAGCTGAGCCTTCAGAAATTGTGTCTTATATTCACACAGGTTGATGATTATTCCTAAGTAGATCACAACTTATGAAAAACCTGCCATATCTTGATTCAAGGTACTGATCATACTCATATTAAACACCACAGGGAGTACATTATCATCACACTCCGGATCTATTTTTAATTCTTTATAACTTAGAACACAGTCCTCTGGCATGGACCTTGAGCATCATGCAGCAGTTGAGTCTCACGCAGTTTTAAAATAAGCACATTGAGTAAGGGCAATTAAGAATGGTGACTTAGGATTATCCGGTTTATTATAAAGTGAGCTAATAAGAGTTGGCAAAAGAATTGCCATTACACATTACAGAGGATAATCCCTGTGGATTCCTCCCTTTATTCCTCAATATGTTGTTCTAACAACTGTACCCATTAAATAGGCAGCACTCTTCTCCTGATAATACACTTAGAGATACAAGGAGGAGACTTTAATAGAATGTTGTTTTTTGTCTTTTTTTTTCTCTCTCAGAAATTACAAGGATGGCATGGGCTTTGGGAATAATGCCACTTGGGACACCCACATCCTATAAGAGTGCCTGGATTCGAGTCCTAGCTCAGCTTCTGATCCAGATTCCTGCTAGTGCACACCAGGGAGGCAGCAGGTGATGGGTCCCTGCAACCCACTTGGGAAACCAGATTTGAATTTCTGGCTCCCAGCTTCAGCTTTCCCCAGCCATGTCTGTTCTGAGAAGTAGAGGCATGAACTAGCAGATGGGCAATCTCTTGTATCTATGCTTTTAAATAAACAACTTTAAAATTTTAGGGCATGCTGTTGTGGTGCAGCACATTAAGCCACAACTTGAAGTGCCACCATCTCATATTGGAGTGCTGGTTCAAGTTCTTGCTATACCTTTTCCTATCCAGCTTCCTACTAATGTGCCTGGGAAGGCAGCAGAAGATGGTCCAAAGATCTGGGGCCCTGCCACCCATGTTGTTGACCCAGAGGGAATTCCTGGCTCTTATTTTTAGACCTGCCCAGCCCTGGCTGTTAGAGCCACTTCTGCCTTTCTCTCTGATGCTCTGCCACCAGCTGGTTGACTGCACATCTCCTGGATGCCTGACCCCTTTCCTGTCGACCCTGCAAGGTGTAATGCCCTCATCTCAATGGATCTGTAAATAATCAAAACAACTTTTGGGGTGAGCATTTAGCTTAGTGGTGAAGATGGCTTCATCCCATATTGTATTACCTGGGTTTGATACCCATCTCCAGCTCCTGACTACGGCTAGTAAAGACCCTGGGAGGCTCAAGTGATTCTGTTCCTGTCATACAATAGGAGACCTGGACTGACTTCCTGGTTCCAGGCTTCCACTCAGCTTCATCATAGCCACTGTGAGCACTGGGAGAGTGAACCAGCAAATGGGAGCTGTTTCTCTTTCATGTGTCTCTGCTTCTCAAATAGTTTTTTTAGAATCCAGTTTTGTATATGTGTGTTATGTGTATGTGTGTGTGTGTGCATGCCCCTCCTCTGTTCTACACCTGATCAATAGCCCTGGACCTTACTTTAGTGTTCTCTTTAGTTAGTGTTCTCTTTGCCATCTTGGTAGGATAAATTAGACAAAGTTCAACAATAGCCACAAGGGCACTTGTGAATTTCTCTTGTTTGCAAAAAAAAAAAAAAAAAAAAAGGATGAAACTGGAAAACATCATACTTAATGTAAATAAGCCAGTCCCCAATATACAAATGCCTTATGTTCTCCCTGACCTGTGATAACTAACACAGCACCTAAAAATAAATCTGTAATAGTGAAATTGACACTTTGCGATGCAACAACTTTGAACAGCCCTTGACTTGACTGTTGAGGAACACTTTTTTTTCATACTTTGTTAACTCTTTTTATTTTATTTTATTTTTGACAGGCAGAGTGGACAGTGAGAGAAAGAAACAGAGAGAAAGGTCTTCCTTTGCCGTTGGTTCACCCTCCAATGGCCGCTACGGCTGGTATGCTGCAGCCAGCACACCGCGCTGATCCGAGGCCAGGAGCCAGGTGCTTCTCCTGGTCTCCCATGTGGGTGTAGGACCCAAGGACTTGGGCCATCCTCCACTGCACTCCCGGGCCACAGCAGAGAGCTGGACTGGAAGAGGAGCAACCGGGACAGAATCCGGCGCCCCAACTGGGACTAGAACCTGGGGTGCCAGTGCTGCAGGCAGAGGATTAGCCTATTGAGCCATGGCGCCAGCCTCTGTTAACTCTTTACATTGTATAGAGTTAACCATATGTGTATAAAGTGAATTCAAAATAAATCTTAGTAAAAAATTAGAATTGGAATAGGAGAGGGAGGAGGAAGAGTGGTCGGAATGTGGGTGGCCGGGCAGGTATGGTGGCAAGAATCACTGTGTTCATGAAGTTTCACTTATGAAATGCATGGGGGCTGGTGTTGTGGCTTAGCAGGTAAAGCTGCTGCCTGCAGTACCAGCATCCCATATGGGCACCAGGTCAAGTCCCAGCTGCTCCACTTCTAACCAGCTCTCTGCTCTGGCCTGGGAAAGCAGTAAAAGATGTCCCAAGTCCTTGGGCCTCTGCACCCACGTGGGAAACCTGGAAGAAGCTCCTGGCATCAGATCACCAAGATATGGCCAGTGTGGCCAATTGGGAAGTGAACCAGTGGATGGAAGACCTCTCTCTCTCTCTCCCTCTCCCTCTCCCTTTCCCTCTCCTTTTCTAACTCTTTCAAAAAAAATCTTAAAAAGGCAAAAGAAATGCATGAAGTTTCTATTCCTTAATTAAAAGATTCTTGGAAGAAAAACAGGTTTCCTGGAAGAATGACAGCTGCTGCTTACAGTTAGGCACTTGGGCATCAGGCCATCTGCCAGGATAATAAAGCATCCTGTGAAAAGCACAGTGTAAACCTCCATGACCACCTTACCTGCAGTCTTGTCAGGGCGGGCTACAGTTTACAGCCACCCTCCAGAGAGCCCTCAAGACCAAATTACTGGCATGTATAACACATATCACCCAAGTTGATAAGGAACAGCTACATTGAATACTTAGCCATACTTATTGGGGATGATATAAATATCTGACATTTTGAGTGCTTTCATAATCTTAGGCTGGATGTTACCCAAATCCCATGGGCCAAAGACCTTTATAGCATTACTTCTACTTAGAAACCACTGTTTCAGCAAAAATTTAGAGCAGCTCCATTAGGTAGGAGGCTGCCAGCCAGTGTGGTAACTACCCAGGTGACTTGTTTCAACACAGTGACCATCTTAATACTTAAGAGATTCTTTTCCAACAGGCAGCAATTGGGTAGAAGAAACAAATTTTAAGTTGCCCAACATACTTATTCATTGGCAGTTTTGAATGATGATTTCATAGGAATATAAATTGAAACTATTGAGGATTATAATATATAGAATAATATGCAGATATCATTTTATGGCTGGTCAAAAGAAATTATGCACATGTGTCAAAGTAATGGAAATTGAAGGCATTCTGATTTCTCATATGGTAAATATAGACTTAATGAATAGCATTTATAATAAGTACCGATTTAGAGGAAAGCAATAGTCTATTCACTTTATAGCAATGTATTTCAAATATATAAAACAAAAATGTTACCACTGCTATGTAATAAAACACTCTTTTTTATCACTTTGGTTTTTATGAGTTTTTTAATAGTAATAATATATATATCATTTAGAATTTACAAAAACACAAATGAGCTTAATACATGTGCATTACATAGAACTTTTTTAAAAAGAGCAAAAAATCTGAGATTAAATATGTTTTTCTTTTTAGAAAGTGTGTTAATGATATGATGTTTCTGCCCATTCCAGGTTAAGGACTGACTTCTTGCATCTCTGCTCTTGGGAATTGTAGCAACAGACATCCTAAACCAAAATTAATCAAAACAGCAAATAAGTGCAACAGCAGAAGTAAATTCTTGATTATTCACCCAAGAGAAATCTCACTTTCACATCATCATATACAATGGGACAGTTGAGCAAATCAATAACTCTGTCTCAATGTCATGAAATATCTGTGAACCCATGAAATTCAGAGCTAAAAATCTAGCTGCTGATGGGATCTGTAAAACTGAATTTGATTTTTACTTATCCAGCCTTTCTATATTTATCAAGTACTGTTAGCCTCATAGCCTATTCACTACATGTATTAATAAATATAAACTGTCTTTTCTGTAAAGTTGCAAGTCTATAAATTTCTATAACATTTTTTCAAAATTATAGTGGGACACTTTTGAAAAGCAAAGTGTTTGATTTATTTTTAAATTTAGTTACATAAAATTACTGTTTAATGTGTGTCATCTGGTTTTCATAAGTTGGACCTATTTTGATAATGCAGTAAGAACTTTAAAGTTGACACTGCCATTCAAGAAGCAATATAGAATGCTTTATTCAAAATTGTGTGTTGTTGATGGGATCATTGGCAAGCTCCATTGCAGGCTGTTAAGTGAAGTGATTAAAGATAAATTTTCTAGGATGAACAAATTTAAAATTATACTAAATATTTCTTTGTTACTGATTTAACTTTATATAATAATGGTACCCAAAATGAGAAAGACTTATGCTGGGATCTGTGAAAAAGAGAATAAGGTATAGACCCAGTCAATCCCTTTAGGGATCTGTGCATATAAGGAATAATAGTATAATTAGTGTCAGGCTACATGGTGAAGACTGAGTGTGCTGTTGTGATGAAATGCACTGGGGGTGGTATTATTAGGAGATACAGAGACTCTTCCAGGAGATAGCTACTGAGTTGAGCATGGAAGGGTATGGATAAATAAGAGAGCACTGAAAATATAATTTAGTGCAAAAATGGGGACCAGTGGCTGGTAAAGGAGAGGGAGAAGACAAGCAAAAACATGAAGTAGACATTAGAATTCTATTCCAAGAGCCAGGAGGGATGACCCGGTGTACAGGTAATGGTGTCTGCAGCTTAAGTTCCTGAGCTCAGGTTGGATACGGTTATTGTATCTTGACAGTTCAAGATCTATGGAAATAAGAGTGAAGTTGCTGAAGGACATGGGGTAGAGGGGTATTTTATGTGTCAAAGTGTCCTAACTGCTGTCATGAATTAATATCTACTTAGTAATTCACTGTTGACAAAGTAATTTCATATTTATTACTGAACTTAATGCTCGACAACACTGGGGATGTTACAGAGAAGAATGCTGAAGCAAAGATGTTAACTGGTTTTGACTATGGACACAGCATGTGTCTTCTGCCCTATGTACAGTTCTTCACATTGAGAGCAGTAATTCAGGATGCATATTGTAGGACTCTACACGCTGCAATGTATAAGAAGAAAGACAAGGTAAGGAGACTACTGTGCAGCAACCTAGGCATGAGCAAATGAGCAAATGGACTAAATAGTGGCAGAGGAAACATAAAGGAAAGGATAGTAAAGAACAATTTCAAAGGGATAATCAGCAGGAATGGGTGACTCACTGGATTTATGGGGACAAGGCAAAGGGAGGATTAAAGATAATACCATATTTGAGTATTGAATGGAAGAATGATGGTGCCATCTGTAGAAGCAGAGGAAAAGAGGAAAAGCTCCATTTGACAAACTTGGATTTGACTAATGTGTTTTGATTGTTGGGGAAAATACCGTCCATACTGCAGCTTTTTTTTTTTTTTGACAGGCAGAGTGGACAGTGAGAGAGAGAGACAGAGAGAAAGGTCTTCCTTTGCCGTTGGTTCACCCTCCAATGGCCGCCGCGGCCAGCGCACTGCAGACGGCGCACCGCGCCTATCCGACAGCAGGAGCCAGGTGCTTTTCCTGGTCTCTCATGGGGTGCAGGGCCCAAGTACTTGGGCCATCCTCCACTGCACTCCCGGGCCACAGCAGAGAGCTGGCCTGGAAGAGGGGCAACCGGGACAGAATCCGGCACCCCAACTGGGACTAGAACCCGCTGTGCCGGCGCCACAAGGCGGAAGATTAGCCTACTGAGCCATGGCGCCGGCCAATATACTCTAGCTCTTGAATGCAGCAACTGTAAGTACTCATAAATATCTGTTTCAAGACACAAGACAAATGATAGTGTAAAGAAGGGGAATGGCTGAGGGTAACCAAGAATGGAATTTTTGCAAATTGTCCATTCTAGGCTTACCTAAATATCCTCAACAGAAACAGTCTGAGGCAGTGGGAGGAAGGCCTGGAGATCTCAGTCAGGAAAATTTTTCTCATTCTATTTTTGAATTCATGTTTCAATTTATACCATTTTAGATCTGTAGTCCAAAGAAAAATATTGTTTAAAGAAATGTGTTTTTAAAAATTTGAGTGTTCTATCCTTAAATTATTTACCTACTACTTGAGTCAAAGATTATGTTTGTTTATGTGCTTTGTATCCATACTGAGAACCAACAGTCAGGAATAGTCAAGAGTGATATACAGTAATGTTTCCAGGTGGTAGTTTTATTGCAAGAAGCATTTCACTTACTGCAAGAATTCCTCATGTAAATAATCTCACCATAGGTGACAAAAGTGTGTGTGTGTGTACACTGCAGTTAAGAATCTTGCCCCAGTAGAATTACTCTCCACATCTCTCTCCATGTTTCTGAAATGGTCAACATGCTTGCTATTAACATTTGGATAATCCTATTCCAAGTTAGTAGATTCTGTTTAAGAAAACTAGTATCACCGAAGTTTCTCATGTTGCTCAAAGAATTGTTCACTTTGGACCATGTGAACACAGTATCCCGAGAGATCTAAACAAGTGTGCTCTACACAAGCAAACCCAGACTAGTGTGGTGACTCACAACTGCCAGACACTTTGATGAATCTCAGAGGGTTGGGGAAGAGAAACCTCTGCTGTAATCTATTTTAAAATCATAATTCTTGGGGCTGGCATTGTGGCATAAAAGGTTCATCCTCAACCTGCAGTGCTGGTATCCCATATGGGTGCCAGTTTGATTCCTGGCTGCCTCGGTTTCAATCCAGCTCCCTTTTAAGGCCTTGGAAATCAGTGGAAGATTGCCCAAGTGCTTGGACCCCTGCACCCACATGGGAGACCCAGAAGAAGCTCGTGGCTCCTGGCTCCAATTGAAACAGCTCTAGCCATTGCAGACTTTTGGGGAGTGAACCAGAGGTTTGGAGCTCTCTGTCTCTCCCTCTGTCTGTAACTGCATTTCAAATAAATAAGTGCTTAAAAAAATTCCTAAAAGTTGGAGTTTCCTTCCCTCTTTTTTTCTTTTTAAGTATTTGCATTGGTGCAATTTCAGCACCCATGGCCCTTCCTGAAAGTAGTAGTGTATTTCCACCAAGAAAGCTAGTGTGGCATTCTCCACTTGTTCTGATGTCCACTTTCATCACTCTCATTTAATATACTATTGGAAGTTTGAGGCAAAATTCGGGAAGAGAAATTGAAATTTGAAATTGCTATGGAAGAAGTTAAAATATCTATGTTGATATGCATGACAGGATGTACATGGAAAAGACTAAACATGCTAGCAAAAAGCATTTGAACTGATATATTAGAAGGCCAACATACAAAAAGAGTAATTTTTTTGTATATCAATAATGAACTGCCATTTTTTGTTGTTAATTTAAGGAATACAAATTTCATAAGGACAATGTTAGAAATATATTCTTTCCACCATACCCACCCTCCCACCCCTACCTCCTTCTCTCTCTCCCCTTGCCAGTCTCCATTAAGATTCATTTTCAATTAACTTTGTACACCTAAGAGCAACTCTATACTAAGTAAAGATTTCACAGCTTGCACACACACACACACACACACACACAGAAACTTTTTGAGAACTAGTTTTACAGTTAATTCTCCTAATAAAACTCATTGAAGGGAGAGGTCCTACATGTGGTGTTAGTGCACAGTTACTCCTGTTGTTAATTTAACAATTAATAGTCTTATGTGTGACATCAGTGACCACCTAAATCTCTTGACATGAGCTACCTAGGCTATGGAAGAATTTTAAGTCCACTAACTCTGTTAGTATTTGAACAAGGTCATAAGCACAGTGAAAGCTCTTTCCTCCCTTTAGAGAAAAGTATATCCTTCTTTGATATCCACTTCATTCTGCTGGAGTCTCACTTACAGAGATCCTTCATGTAGAACATTTTTTGCTGCAGTGTCTTGGCTTTCCACGCCTGAAATGCTCTCATGTGCTTTTCAGCCAGACCAGGAAGCCTTAAGGGATGAATCTGAGGTCAGAGTGTTATTAAAGTGATTGTCATTCTGTTAGTCAGCTGTCTGGACTGCTTCCCATGTTGGAACATTCTCTATTTTAAATTCTATTATTATTACCAGCCACTAGATCCTATATATTTGATCACTTTAACACTTAACATGATGACATTAACAACTAAGATGGCATTTTCACCATCAAGCTTAATGGGATTTGGAGTCCCATGACAAGTTTTTAAACTGTACCCTTAGAATTAAGTCCACAGGAATGTATGAAGAATTATAGATCTTTACAGTTGTAAACTTCCTCCTCCCTCTTTTATTCCCATTCTTATTTCTACCGAGATCTATTTTTAATTGACTATATATATATATATATATATACATATATAGTTAACTGTAAGTAAAGAGGTAAAAAAAGTGTATGACAATAAAATATAACAAAAAAAACTGTTCCTCAACAGTCAAAATAAGGGCAGCTCAAGTCATCCCTTGTAGAAGTGTCAATTTCACTTAAACAAATTTTGTTTTAGGTGCTCTATTTGCACAGATCAGAGAGAACATATGGTATTTGTCCCTTTGAGATTGGCTTTTTCACTAAGTATGATGTTTTCCAGATTCATCCATATTGTTTCAAATGACTTGATTTCATTTTTTCTTTACTGCTGTGTAGTATTCCATAATGTGTGAATCCCATTATTTCTTTATCCAGTTTTTGGTTGATGAGCATTTATGTTGATTCCATGCCTTAGCTATTGTGAATTGAGCTGCAATAAAAATAGAGGTGCAGATAACTCTTTTGTTTACTGATTTCATTTCCCTTGGGTAAATTCCCAGGAGTGGGATGGCTGGGTCAAATGGCAGGTCTATATTCAGATTTTTGAGGTATCTCCAAACTGTCTTCCAGAGAAGCTTTACCAGTTTACATTCCCACCAAGAGGGGATTAGGGTACCATTCCCCAAACATCCTTGACATCATTTGTAGCTTGTTGATTTCTGTATGAAAGCCATTCTAATGGGGCTGAGGTGAAACCTCATTGTGGATTTGATTTGTATTTCCCTGACAGCCTGATCCTTAACAATTTTCATGTGTCTGTTGGCCCTTTGGATTTCCTGTTTTGCAAAGTGACTGTTTAAGTCCTTTTCCTGTCTCTTAAGTGGGTTGTCTGTTTTGTTGTTGTGGAGTTTCTTGATCACTTTGTAGATTCTGGTTATTACTCCTCTATCAGTTGCATAGTCTGCAAATTATTTCTCCCATTCTGTCAGTTGCCTCTTCACTTTGCTGAGTGATTCTTTTGCCTTACAGAAACTTCAATTTGGTGTAATCCATTTGTAAATTTTGACTTTGACTGCCTGTGCCTCTGAGGTCTTTTCCAAGAAGTCTTTTCCTATGCTATTGTGAATGGGTTTGATCTTAGAAGTTGAATATCAGCTGTGGCACTTTCTGTGTCTACAAAATCTGTTGATTTTTTTGCATTGACTTTATATCCTGCTACTTTATATAAGTTTTAATAGTCTCTAAGTGGAGTCTTTTGGATCCCCTAGATGTAGAATCATGTCACCTGAAAATAGGGATTTTTTAACTTCCTCCTTCCCAATTTGTATCCCTTTGATTTCTTTTTCTTGCCTAAATGTTCTGGCTTAACCTTCTAGGACTGTATTGAATAGCAATGGTGACAGTGGGCATCCTTGTCGGGTACCCAATCTCAGTAGGAATGCTTCCAACTTTTCCCCATTCAGTAGGACACTGGTCGTGGTTTATTAATAAATTAACTCATTTGTGTTGAGAAATGTTTCTTCTGCTCCTAGTTTCTTAAGTGTTGTTGTCATAAATTGCCTTGATTGTGTTGAGGAATGTTACCTCTAAACCAATTTACTTAGAGTTTTCACCATGAAAGGATATTATGCTTTCTCTGCATCTATTGAGATAATATATGGTTTCTGTTCATCCTTTTGTTGATGTTATGTGTCAAATTAATTGATTTGTGAAAGTTGAACCATCCATCTCACCTGGTCTGGGTGGATGATCTTTCTAATATGCTGTTAGATTCTATTGGCTAGAATTTTGTTGAGGATTTTTGCATCTATGTTCATTAGTGAAATTGATCTGTAATTTTCTGTTGCATCTTTTTCAGGTTTAGAAATTAAGGTGGTGCTGGCTTCATAGAAAGAATTTGGAAGGATTCCCAACCTTTCAATTGTTTCGAATAACTTGAGAAGAATTGGAGTTAGTTCTTCTTTAAATGTCTGGTAGAATTTGGTAGTGAAGCCATGAGGTTCTGGGCTTTTCTCTATTGAGAGGGCCTTTATTACTGATTCAATTTCCATCTTGGTTATGGGTCTGTTGGTTTTCTATATTTTTATGGCTTCATTTAGCTTGTATGTGTCCAGGAATCTATCCATTTCTTCTAGGTTTCCCAGTTGTTGGCATATAGCTCTTTGTAGTAATTTCTGATGATTTTTTATTTCTGTGCTGTCTTTTGTTACATTTTCTTTTTCATATCTAGTTTAGTTGATTTGGGTCTTTTTTTTTTTTTTGGTTAGCTGGGCCAATAGTAGGTCAATTTTGTTTATTTTTTCAAAAATAGCTCTTTAGTTTGCTGATGCTTTGTATTGTTTCTTGAATTCAATTTTGTTGATTTCTTCTCTAATTTTAATTATTTTTTCCTACTAGTTTTGGCTTTGGTTTGCTGTAGTTTTTCTAGATCCCTGAGATGCGTTAATAGCTCATTTATTTGGTGCCTTTCCAATTTTTGATGTAGGCACCTATTGTTATGAACTTTCCTCTCAACACTGCTTTTGCTGCATCCCATAGGTTTTGATATGTTGTCATCTTCATTTGTTTCCAGAAATTTTTTTATATCTCTGTTGATTATTCTATGACCCATTATTCATTCAGGAGCATGTTCAGTCTCTAAGAGTTTGCATATGTTCTAGAGGTTCCTGGGTTGCTGACTTCCAGTTTCATTGCATTGTTTTCTGAGAAGATGCATGCTATGATTTATATTTTTTGAATTTACTGAGACTTGATTTATAGTTGTATATGGTGAATCCTAGAGAAAGTTCCATGCATTGCTGAGAAGAATGCATATTATTCCGCAAGTATAGGATGAAAAAGTCTGTTGATATCTGTTAGGTCCAGTTGGTCTACAGTGTCCAATAAATCTGCTGTTTCCTTGCTGAGTTTCTGTCTGGTTGATCTGCCCAATGCTGAAAGTAAAGTATTGAAGTCCCCAAATACTACTGTATTGGAATCTAAGTCTCTCTTTAAATCTCATAACATTTCTTTTCCATAGCCAGGTGCCCTGTAATTAGGTGCATATACATTTATAATAATCACAGCTTCCTGTTAAATTGATCCCTTAATCATTACATAGTGACCTTCTTTGTCTCTTTTAAAAGTTTTTGTGTTAAAGTCTATTTGGCTGATATTAGGATGGCTTACACCATCTGTTTTTTGGTTTCTTTTGGCATGGAATATCTTTTTCCATCCTTTCAATTTCAGTCTGTGTGCATCTTGTTTGGTGAGATGTGTTTCTTATATGCAGTAAATAGATAGGTTTTGTTTTTCAATGGTTCAGCCAGTCTGTGTTTCCCATCTGGATAGTTGAGGCCATTTACATTCAAGGTGTCTATTGATAAGTAACAACTTTGTCCTGCCATTTTCCCAAAAATATTCCTATTTTTTCCTTTTAATTTCCCATGAACTTTTACTGATTTTCTTTCTTCACCTTCTTTCATAGTGATGAGAGTGTTTCTGTGTTTCTGTGTGCAACACATCCTTAAGCATCTTTTGTAGGGCTGGACGGGTGGTGTCAAATTCTTTCAATTTCTGATTGTTATGAAAAGTCTTTATTTCACCTTCATTCAAAAATGAGAGCTTTGGAGGGTATAGTCTTCTGGGTTGTCAGTAGTTTTCTGCTAAGACTTGGAATATATCTCGCCAATCTTTCCCAGCCTGTAGAGTTTCTGATGAGAAGTCTGCTGTGAGTCTAATTGGAGATACTCTGAAAGTAATCTGGTTTTCTCTGTGCACATTTTAGAATCTTTTCTTTATGTTTTACTGTGGTGAGTTTGATTTACAATATGTTGTGGTGAAGATCTTTTCTGATCATTCTATTAGGTGTTCCATGTACTTGCTGTACTTGGATGTCCTTTTTTTTCCTCTAAATTAGGGAAGTCTTCCGTTATTATTTTACTAATCCTTTCTCTATTTCCACACCTTCATGAACTCTTAGAATCCATATGTTCAGTCATTTGAATGTATCTTATAGATTCTCAACAATGTTTTTTTTTTTTAGTTTATTTCCTCCTCTTGTTTTTGGTTTGACTGTATAATATCTTGTTATTTGTCTTCTACATCGATATTCTTTCTTCTGCTTGACCAATTCTGTTAAGGCTTTCCACTGCATTTTTATCTGTTGTATTGAATTCTTCATTTCATTTGACTTTTCTTTAAGATCTCAATTTCATGGAATAAATTTTCTTTTTATGTCCTGTATGGATTTCAGTAGTTCATGCATTTGCTTCTTATTACTTCTATGTAATTTTATCATCATTTTAAAAATTTCATTTCTTGCATTTCTTCCATCTAATTAGTTTCTTGTTTTTTAAATTTATTTATTTATTTGAAAGTCAGAGTTACACAGAGACAGGGTAGGCAGATAGAGGGAGAGAGAAGTCTTCCTTCCGATGGTTCACTCCCCAGTTGGATGCAATGGCCAGAGCTATACCAATCTGAAGCCAGGAGCCAAGATCAGGAGCCAGGAGCTTTTTCTAGGACTCCCACATGGGTGCAGGGGCCCAAGGACTTGGGCCATCTTCTACTGCTTTCTCAGGCCATAGCAGAGAGCTGGATCAGAAGTGGAGCAGCTGGGACTCAAACTGCTGCCCATATGGGATGCTGGTGCTTCGGGCCACGATGTAAACCTGCTGCACCACAGCACTGTTCCCCCATCTCATTATTTTCACAATATAGTATTGTATAGATTTATTTATTGTACAGATTTATTCATTTATTGTACAAATTTATTTATTGTACACAATATAGTATAGTACAGATCTCAATAGTTCATGCATTTACTTCTGATTACTTCTATCTAATCTTATGATAATTTTTTGAATTCCATTTTTTGCATTTTTTCATCTCATTATCTTCACAATATAGTACTGAAGTGTTTTGTTCTTTTAGGGGTATTGTGTTGTCTTCCTTATTCTTGTTTCTATTTTATTTTTTGACAGGCAGAGTTAGACAGTGAGACAGAGAGAGAGAGAGAGAGAGAGTTATAGACAGTGAGAGAGAGACAGAGAGAAAGGTCTTCCTTCCATTGGTTCACTTCCCTAATGGCCGCTATGGCTGGTGCTGTGCCAATCTGAAGCCAGGAGAAAGGGCAGCCGTGACACAGTCTCATGCAAGTTCTTAACTCAGGGATAGATGTAATGTGATCAGGAGACTGGCCCACTGGGAGGGTCAGAATGTGATGGTGTCTGGAGAATTATCATTTGACATAAAGGAACCTCTTCCCTGAGGCCTTGCCAAGAGAGCTCTCAAATCTGAAATCTGTAGCTCAGTTCTATTGCTATCCCAGTGCAGCATATGGTGAGCTAGTTTTGAACTAAAGTCAGGATAACTGTGCAAGACTACAGGAGAAATGGAAAAAGGGAGATGTAGGGGAGAGTCATTGAAGGAGCTACATTTCACATACCCGTGGCTCCTGACACCAGATTCATGGCATGAGGATATACAGTGCTGACAACCTGGGAAATATCAAAGAGTCTAACTGTGTTAGAGTACAGGATATGTGACAGCACTTAATGAAATAAAAATTTGAAAAGTTTGATAAAATTGAAAAATCTCTGGTGAAACTAATCAAAGAAAATAGAGACAAGGCATCAAGAAAGCTACATAGGGAATAAAAAGGGGAGCACACTGTAGATATTAGAATAGTAAGATTATACTTGGAGCAGTTTGATGCCAAGACATTTGAAATTGTAGATAAAATGGACAAATACTTGGGAAAATACAACTCACTAAAATAGATACAAGAAATAGTTTTAAACAATCCTATATCTAACAATCTGATTTACAACTTGAAAACATCCACAGAGAAAACTGTCAGTCAATGTGGCTTCACTAGGGAGTTCTAGCTTACATTTAAGGGGAAAAAATAATAACCAAATTAAACAGACTCAGAGAATACAAAAAGAAAGGTAATACAACCTAGCTCATTTTGTGAAGCCAACAGTTGAAATTAATATTATGAGAAAAAAAAAGCATAGCCAATCACACTCATGGCCTGGATACAAGAACCATAAACCAAACTATCAACAGAATCCAGCAGCTTTCTATTAAGAAGGTAATATAAGTACCATGTGCTAACCGACTGTGTCACTCCCCCCATGATGCCATCTCCCATGCTGTGATGCAACCAAGGAGCTTTACCAGGGCCCAAACACATGGGGTTGCCTGATCCTGGACTTTCAGCCTTCAAATTTGTGATCTAAATAAACCACTTTTATTATACAGTTTCTAGTCTTTGGTATTTTTGCTACCACAACAGAAAATGGACTACAAAACTAATGAGAAGATAAAGTATAAAAGATTATTGAAGGACAGACAAAATGATTCAAATAAATATAACCTAGTTGTCAGTTCTCTCAAATTAATCAATAATTCAGTGCCTTTCCAATGAAAATCCTAAACATATTGTGAAAATTGACAAAATTATTCTAAAATTGAATGTAAGAATCAAGTTGTAAGAAGAACCAAGGGATCAGGGAAAAGATGGCAGCTTAGAAATAGGAAAATCCAAGTCATGTGGGGCAAAATAGGTAGTTAAAAGGGAGAGAGGTTATATAGCCTTGGAAACTCATGACTGGTGCATAGGGAGATTACTGATGCCATAAACAGGAGTGTCAATTTGTAAAGTCAACAACAGGAGTCACTGTGCACTTACTCCTCATGTAGGATCTCTGTCCTTAATGTGCTGTACACTGAGGCTTAATGCTATAACGAGTACTCAAACAGTATATTTCACTTTGTGTTTCTATGGGGGTGCAAACGATTGAAATCTTTACTTAATGTACACTAAACTGATCTTCTGTAAAAAAAAAAAAAAAAAAGAAATTATCAATTCCCAACTTGACTCTCACTGGGATTAAACATGACAATAGGTCTGATCTGATTTCATCATCATTTAAAAAAAATCATCTATTATTTTTTCACTTTATGTTTCTGTGTGGGGAACAAACTGTTGAAATCCTTACTTAAGGTATACTAAGCTGATCTTCTGTATATTAAGATAATCGAAAATGAATCTTGATGTGAATGGAAGGGGAGAGGGAGTGGGAAAGGGGAGGGTGGTGGGTGGGAGGGACGGTATGGGGGGGAAAGCCATTGTAACCCATGAGTCGTACTTTGGAAATTTATATTCATTAAATAAAAGATAAAAACAAAAAGGGAGAGAGGTTATATGCAGGAGATAGAACTGCGGGAAATTTACAACAGGAAACCCAGGAGGTCAACACAGACTGGGAAGGTCCACGCTGAAAGGGAAAATAAGGAGGAGGAACAGAGATGTAGCAGGTGCAGGTGTTGGGGCAAAGGGTGACAGCCCCCAGTGGATCAGGTCAGATGGAGAATTGGGTGTCCATGTGTGGGGAGCAACCCAGACTGGACTGAGTTACTGGAATTAAGACTTATTCTATGCATCTGCTCTCCCACAATATGGCTCTGGGAGAGGAGAAAACAGCTTCTACACGTCTGCCTCCCGTTCTACCTATAGACTGTAGAACCTGCGTCTGATTGGAGGAGAGCAGTGTACTCGGCATGTGGGTAGCAGGAGTAGGATTGGTGGC